TTGAGCCGTGAAAAGACAGTTCCATGAAAAACACAAGCACAGAAATGATGCCATCTCATCTTAGAGAGTAGTTCTGTCATTGTTTATCTTGATTATAACACACACACACACACACACACTGAACACTGAACACTGCAAGAAGACAAGAAAACACTTGATAAAAGAAGAGTAAAGAAGGAGATAGCAAAGATCACACTCAGTAAGAGTCAAATGGGAAAAAGTTCATGATTCTGTGATAACTTTCAAAATCCCAAACTCACCATATTCTTCTGTGTTTCTAAATTTAGTAATGTTCCATTCTAATCCCAAACCTTGTTCAAAATAAAAATGATTGCTTCATATATTATGAATATGTGCTTCTTCTCAAAGTCTATTTACAGTAATGTGTAAGTCATAGGGACACATTATTCTCAGTTCTGTGCTGAAACAATTTTCCCTCAAGTCTGCTATTTCACCAACTTTCCAGACTGAAATGAAAATCAATTCTCATACACAATGAAATATTTTCCTATTTACCCAGCAAATACAATTTTTTTTCACAAGTATTGAATCTTCTAGGTAAGTAAATAATAAAATTAAGATAATATTAATGACATTCTCTCTGAATCATTTCATTAAATGAAGTGACTCGATAGTATAAAAAATTATCAGATTGCCTTATGTAACTTAAAACTCCTCACAAGTTATCACTGTCTAAAATATTAGCATGAACAAACTTCATTTCAGCTAGAGTTTTGTTTAGAAAGAAAATGCTCCAAGAAAAACAGTTTTTTAAAAGTGTACTTGTGTTGTTCACTATACAATATGAAGATACATTAATATATTTCAGCCCAAATAGTTCCATCCCTCCTTAAAATAATGCTAGATGGATGATCTTTTGTATTTGTCACTTCTTTTGATTAAAAGGATCTTCATTAAGACATACTGCTGATTGTTTCTTCACTTCCTTTCTGGGTTTAGAAAGTTCTAGGAATGGTATCCACTTCCTAAATAACGTGCCTTTGTAAACTCTGTGAACTTTGATAGATGTCGATTGTCATAGAGGGGCTTCAGGCCTTTTGTTCATAGGGTCGCTATGAGTCATGCTCGACTTGAAGGTGATCAACAACAACAGCTTTGTGGTAAGGAGTTGTGCTGCCAACGCTAGGCAGGGGGTTCAAATCCACCAATCTCTCCATGGAAGAAAGATGGACAATCTCCTCATGTGAGATTTACAGCCTCTGAAAACCTGCTAGAAGGTTCAGTTGGTTCCAACTCAACAGCACACAACAACCACCACTATTTCTGTACTTAAATAGTATGTTATCAGTTGAGCAACCTTCCCCCCCCCCAACTTAGGCTTTATTTTTTCTCTATGACTCATTTATTATTTTCTCTACAAGACTTCTGGTTGCCTAGTGACAAGGAGCTGCACTCCAGTCTGGAAGGTATATGGTTCGAAGCTACCAGTTGCTCTACAGAAGAAAGATTGGGCAATCTCCTCTCGTGGGATTAACTGCCCCAGACAATCGGTCAATTCCAACTCTACAATACACAACAACAACAACATATTACTCATCACCAACAAGCATGCTTTGTATTTTACTAATTGGTTGTGTTTATAGTTTCTCTCTCCCATTAGAATAGAGATCAAACATTTACATTCACATGTTCGAATGAGTCTCCAACTCTTGGCCTCTGTATCATCAGCATTGAGAGCATTGGCTGGCAGATGGGAAGGGCGCAGTGGACACAAGCTCAGTTCCAGCTTGTATGGGTCACACATGGGTCAGTTCCAGCTTGGCGGGACACATAACTTTCTTACACTTGTTAGATGAAGAACAGCTTTACCCAAAATAACAATGAGCTCGACCATATCAAGTATCGGGAAGAGGCACAGTTTAGGGAAAGGGTCATAGGATCGCGATGAGTCGAAGTTGACTTGATGGCATCCAACGACAATATTACTTAAATACTTTTCTAAGGCTCACAGCGAGACCCAAATACCTAGGTAGGCAATATTGCCATCTAGTGGCAAAAACATACTACACTCACCACTTCTGGGGTGGGGGTGAGGGTCCTAAGAAGGGTCTGAGGGGTGTGTCTAGGAGATCCGTGATTCATGGTATTAACAGAACCACATCAAAACACACACACACTCGCCTGTGTGGACATTCCACGAGAGAACCCACTTTGTCCCCCAAACTTTAACATCTTGGCTGAAAAAAGTAGCACCATCTTGAAACGTTCATTGCGTAGCTTTGATCTGCTTGGCAGAGTTCCTTTCTCTGAGCTTTTAAGATCCATTTCTCACCTTTTATAAACCTATATACGTGACGTATTTTTCAACTCTACTTCCTCTTCACAGTAAGGATGCTGCCCCTACCATCATGACCAGGTAAAGACGTAGGGATGGACTTTGTGAACTCAACTTGTTGCTTTTGCATTTGAACTGACTCATAGCTGAGTGTCAGCAGGGCTTCTGAGGCTGGGAACAGTATGGCAGGAGATCGCTCGTCTTTCTACTTGGAGCCACTGGGGGATTCAAACCACTAAAGAGGTGTGACCTTTGAGTGAGCAGCACAACGCCCTACCAACTCTGCCACCATTACTCTAAACAGGGAGTCCATCTGCTCTGCAAAGGAGATCCAAGGGCGAGATGAGTGAGCAAAGGCTAGGCTTGGTCTAAACAAGAACAAAGCAAGAACACATATCCCCCCAGACAGAGTCACAGAAACTGGGACCTTCCTGGACAGTCATGTTGACCTTTAGGTCTGTTTCCCCAGGACTCCTTGGATCCCTCTCCTTCCCCAGACTTCTATAGTCACGGCCTCCTGTGGGCAAGGGGGTTCGCCCTCTATGAACTCTCAAGGCTCCTCAGTCATCAAACTGGCTCCGCTTGACCTAGGCTTGGGAGGCAAACTGCTCATATTGAGAATATTGAGAAGTAGGTGAAGCCACGTAAAGGTACTGGGTGCTTTTGAGATCACACGTGACTGGGTGTTTGGAGAATTGAAAAGAGTATTCGCAGAAAGGTACCAGAATCCTGTGTTCCTGCCTTTTCCCAAGCTCCTTCGGAGTAGCCCACACCCAGATGAGGAGGGGGTGATAGTCATTTATTGGAAAGAAGCTGCTCATTTCTTTCCTCGAGGAACACCACAAACACCCTACCAATAGAACAGTGACTCAGATCTTACTTGCTCCTGCTGATAAAATGTTTCTGGCCACTGGGCATCTGACCCTACTTGAACACTCCTAGACCATCGTGTTTTAAAAGATCTTCCTTTATATTGTCAAGGCATATACTTCTAAATTTTACCCACCGATGTTAGGAAATCTAGTCATTTTCCCTGCGATTGCCCTTTTAAGTATTTTTAAAAAAATTTTATTTTATTAATTTAAATGTTTACAGAGATTTTGGATTTTCATTCATTCATTTTTGTGTTTTTCTCCCTGCCCACCCCTCCCCGCCCTCCCAGTTTGCTCTTCTCTTTGGAAAGTAAAAGAAAAATTCCTCCATTGGTATACAATCTCCCCCATCCCTCTTTGAGTACACTCCACTATGCAACCTTCACTCTAGACTCTAGTTATCACATATTTCCCAAGTATTTTCTATTCTAGATTAAATATCTTCAGTTACTACAAATTTGACATGTCATGATTTTTGATCCTTCATGAGAGCTGCCACACTGTTGACTTACTAAACATGTTTAGCTACGTTAAAACAAAAAGAAGGGAAAAAAACTTTATAAAAGAAAAAAATAAATATAGAAAGAAAGAAGAAAACAAGAAAAGGTAACTTCAAATGCAAGTAAGTGCAAATACACAAATGTGTCTTTAAATAAAGACAAATATTATTAATGCCACATGGGGAGGGACTGTTCAGTACCACTGAGTCACTGGGGCTCACAGTGACCCTACGGACAACTGATGAGAAGCTTGCCCTGTCCCATGTCATCCTCCTCATCTCCGATACACTCAAGCCTCTCGTTACAGTGATGGCGTCAATGCAGCTCATCAAGGGTCCCCCCTTCTTCACTGACCGGCCGCCTTTCCAAGCATGATGTCCTTTGCCAAGGACTGAACCTTCCAAACATCAAGCTCTTCACCACTAGGGCCACCAGAGCTCTCCCTACACCATGGGCTGTTTGTTGTGGTTGTGAGGTGACATCAAGTCCAGAGCAACTCAATCCCAGCATCCCAGTGAACAACAGACGTGGAGCCCGTCGTGTCCTGTGCCATCCTCATCATTTCTGGCACACTCAGCCCACGGCTGCCGGCACGACATCAATCCATCTCATCGAGGGCCTTCCTCTCTTCCACCTGCCCCAATCCCTTTCGACTCATGTTGTCTTTTTCTAAGGACTGGCCCCTCTGGACAGCAAACCCAGAGTAAGTAAAGTGAAGTTTCACCATCCTCGCCTTTAAGGAGCACCCTGATTCCCTTCTCCCTAAGACTTACTTATTTGTTCATTTGATAGTCTAAGGGGTTACTCAGTACTCTTTCCAATACCACAACTCAACTGCATCAATTTTTCTTCTGTCGTTCTTAATCGTTTCTTTCATTAAATCATTACTACCTCTCTTGATTGACTCAACAGCATACACAATTCTTAGCTTTTGTGACCAGGCCAAATATAGCAACCACTATCAGAGATTGCCAGAGAGCCCCATGGCATAGAGTACCCACAGTGGGTTCTTCCAAAGCCAGCTTTCATCCTACAGAGCTAAGGTGATGAAGGATGCATGAGTACCAACACAACGCCCGCCAACCTAGTGTGGCCCATTGTTTTATGCATTAAGTACAGAGACATGGACACTTTTTTAGATCTGTTGAAGGAGAAGAAGAGGAGGGCAACAGAAAAGGGTAATTTTTGGAAATCCACACCCGTGGTTCTCTAGAACTTGCATCCGAGGTTCAGCCAGGCCCATGCAAACAGATGCACGTTTGCACTCCTGTCGGAGAACCCCGGGCCCCACGACTCCCCCAGCAAGCCTCCTCCACAGGCAGCAGCTCCTACCTATGATGAAGAGGATCTCCACGGCAATGTCGCTGACCGTAGTGCTCCGCGTCGTGGACAGGTCGTCGTTGTCGATGAAGCAGACGTTGTAAGGTACGGTCACGGCGACATAAAACGTCGCCAACAGAATGAGCCAGTCCCAGCCAGCTTTGAAAGTGCTAAAATGCAGAAGGATGAATTTGGACTTTTTCGCATCCGAGACTTTATACTCCGGAAATGCTGGTTTGTCCACGAAAACATTCTGTGAAAAAAGAAAAAGAAAAAAAGGTGAGTAGGGTGAGGCCACTGTTAGAGAAAAGGATTACACATTCCTCTACACACACCGTGGGCAGGGCAGTCACATACACAACGGCAGTACATCTCACAGGGGACCTTTCAACAGGAGATGTAGGGACTAACCTGGGCTGAGGTCTTTGATAGAAGGAACGTGACATAGTTTAGTCATGACTGTCCAATGAGATGACATAGTTTAGTCATGACTGTCAAATTAGAGCTCTGGTGGCCTGCATGGGCTGCCGGCCCAGACAGGTGGGTCAAACCTGCAAGGGGCTCCCCAGAAGAAAACCAACCTCTCCCCATGATATTTCTAGTCTCTGAAAACCTGCTGGAGTGTCAGCAACGAGCCGGTTCTGAGTCCATGTCACAGAACAAGGTCAACAACTTTGAATGAGTAATCCATATTTTGTTCTTTGAAACAAAAAAGAGCTTATTATTTAAGATAGGGCCTAAAATCACCCACAGTTGCAAATACAACCCTACATGCAGTGCAGACACGAAGAGAAGGTCTGCATTTCCATTACTGTGGGGACAATTTGTCCACCTACGGTTTTCAGATGACAATCATTTTATAAGGAAGATATTTGACTTGAGATTCTTTGGAACTATTATTTTTTCTAGAAAGGATATAGATATATGACCTACATACTGTTATAAACAGCTCTTCAGCAACTCTTCAGAATATAACCAGGCTGTGCTAGCTACATGCACACTTCTTTTCTATCTTGGCTGTCCGAGATGCTTTCGCTTAGAAAGCCTAACCTCACAGTCCAATTGACAAGGATCCTGACACTGGCCAGTCCCTGTGACATTGCAAGGTGAAAAATAGCTACTCAAGGGTTATTATCTGAGGCTTAGAAGGAGAAAAAGCAATGTTCACCATGCAGCTGATTCAATGGAGAAGAATAGCTGGGGTGTCTGATAACTGTGAAAGGACTTCACTTTGAAAGCAATCCGAAATGAGGAACAATTCTCTTTATTATTTCTGGATAAAAAAAGGCCCAGCCATCCCAGGGGCGGAGATTTGACAAGCCGGAGACCAGATACCTGCCAACCTTGCTTTGACCTCAATTAATGAGAAATACCAGATAGGTAATGGGAACTTAACATTGAAAAGTTAAGCTGAATTAACGAACAGTGAATCACTCTGGGAGGCAAGCTAAGTGCAGACCACAGCGTCGTGTTCTTGTCTCAGCTGCTGAGGCAGGGCCAGGTTAATGTAGTGCGGTCAGGAAGGCTCGGAGGACCTGAGGTTCAGAAAGGCTGAGTAACCAACCAAAAAACGCTTAACTCATCAGTGGCATGGACTGGGGACTACCTGTCTCTGCCTCCTGAGTATTAATTCTCTCTCTGCCTCGTCTCTCTCTCTCTCCTTCTCTCTGGTCTCTCTCATTCCCAGCACATGCTTCTCATTCCATTAACAGGGCGACTCGGCCCCCACAGGCCCCCACGTGCATGCCAGCATTTCATGGTGGAGTACCATTTGCTTCACTACTCCCAGATGGTTCCTCGGTGCCCATCTGCCACTACTTCTGGTTTCCATTTAACTCCCTGATACTGGACCTGTCTCCTTCATTCTCTGATTTCTAAGCGTAAATGCCATCCAAAGGTGGACTTTGGCATGTGAGTGAGAGGAGGAGAATGAAACAGTTGTAATGGGCTTCTCATCAAAGCTCAGGCTAGTGTCTAAAGGAAGAGGGACGTAAGGTCCACCGATTCTCTCAAGGTTGCTAAGCACTTCCAACTCCAATATCACACAGTGGCTTCAAGTACACACACACACACACACAGAGACACACAGACACACACAGACACATACACATGAGTGTACAGGCACACACACACGCATAGTCCAACGCTTTTGAATAGTCAATGAAACACAGACAGACATTCCTCTGGTGCTCTCTGCTTTCAGCGAAGATCCATCTAACATTGGTTATAATGTCCCTGGTGCACAAACTCTTCCAAACCCAGCCTGTCCACCTGGAAGTTCTCTGCTGATGTACTACTGTTCCAGTCGTTTTTGGATAATCAACAGGATCTTGCTTGAATGTGATGCTAACGATACTGTTTAAGAATTTCCACACTCTGTTGGATTTTATTTTTTTTTTTTAAATTGGGAATCCCAAAACACTTGATTGTGCTTACACAAAACCTATGGGAGCCCTGGTGGCCTAGCGGCAAGAAGCTTCACTGCAATCCTAAAGGTATGAGGTTTGAGGCCACCAGCCACTCTGAGGGAGAAGGATGGGCAGTCTCTTCCCATGTGATGAACTGTATTTGAAAATCCGCCAGAGGGTCACCTATGGGTTGGTTCCGACTCTATGGTACACAACAACAAAAACGTGCAAAACCTATACTTGGGCCAGAGGCAGTCATTAGAACAGAGCAAAGAAAACACTGCATGGTTCAAAATCGGACAAGGCGTAAGCCAGGTATGCATCCTGTCTCTATACATTTTCAATCTATATGTGGAACAGATCATCTGGGAGGCTGGACTTTCAGAGGAGGAATATGGTATCAAGATACGAGGAAGACTCATCAATAACTGGCATTATGTAGAAAGCACAACCTTGCATGCTGAAACTGAGAAGGACATGAGGCATTTGCTGCAGAAGGTCAAGGACTGCAGTCTTCAATATGGATTGAAGTTCAACATCAAGAAAACAAAGATTTTCATCACTGGTCCAATTATAAACATCATGGCATACGGAGAAGTGATTGACAATATTAACAGCTTCAGTCTGCTGGACTCCATGATCAACACTCTTGGTACCAGCAGTCAGGAAATCAAAGACATTATTTGAAATAATGGGAACTATTACTTCCTATTCAGAATAAGTTTCCCACAATGTGATTTAAATTTTTCCTTGTTTGAGCAGCTCAGTCTTGGGGGTGAGGTCTTGAGAAAAAGGAAGCATATTCCTGACCTCCCATCCATATTTCCTTTCAGGAAGGGAGGTCCATCCATTCGGAGATGTAACTTTCTACTCAATCTAACTTTAGTATTTTACCTTCAAAGATAAAAAAGAGAAGCATATTCTTGGGTTATAGGTGAATGTTTACAAATACATTAGAGATGTAGTTGTAAAAGCTCAGTAATACACTGCAAGAGTGGTATCCACTTCCTAAACAAAAAGCCTCTGGAAACTCTATGACCTTTGCGAAATGACGATAGTTATAGAAAGGCTTCAGGTCTTTTATTCACAGGGTCGCTGTGAGTCATGCTCAACTCGACAGCAATCATCATCAACAACAACAACATGCACTGCATATCAGAAATGTCAGACCTAGAAATTAGAAAATAAGTCACACTATTCCATTTCCACAGGTTGCCTAACACATATTATTTAAAGTTTTAAAAACTACCGAGAATCCAACAGCTAATCATCTACTGGAGTTGGCATGATTTTAAGAGGAAATTCTGTACATATCTTGACAAAGCTACCTGAGTGAAAACAGCCGCTGTTCTCTCCCTTCACCAGTGCATCTGTAAGCACTTGCAAGAAAGATTTTCAGTGGAGAAAGTGTATATTTATCAGCGGGAAGGTGAGAGGAAATAAAAAGACACACTATTTGTACCATTCAGGTATACTTAGTTTGTTTAAGAAATTACACAATGAACTAGTCAACAACTGGTTAATGGTATTGTTAAGTGCAATTGATTATGACTCATGGTGACCCTATGAACAAGGACCTAAACCTTGTCCTAGCCTGTATGTGTGTGCATGTGTGTGAATGTGTATACATTGCTGTTGTTGTTATGTGCCATCAAGTTGCCTGCGACTCATAGTGACCCTGTGTCAGCCCTAAACTCTGCCCTACCCTGTGTCAATCTCACCATCTCCTGCACACCTACGCCCATTACCTCAGGCACAGAATCAATCCATCTCATTGAGGGTCTGCCTCTCCTGCGCTGTCCCTGCACTCTCCCAAGGATGACGTCCCTCTCCAAGGACTGTATATATATAAATAAAATTTGAGTTGTGCATACTAAATAGGAAGTAATTTCCTTTGTTCCAATGGTGTTTTAGAGTCCTATAATCTCTACCCTGTGAATTCCTGATGCACAAGTTAAAGGAAAAAAATTAACTTGTTAACAGTAACTTTATTTCTTAAAAGGAGCTCCAGAAATTATGGTACATTCACACAATGGAATACTATGCAGCACGCAGGGGCAATAATTATGTAAATTAATTACCTAACCTGGGAGGGACTGGAGAGCATTATGCTGAGTGAACGAACTCAGTCCCACAAGGATAAATATTGTAGAAGACCGTTATTGTAGAATGAGTATAAGGATCCAGGAGGGGTGGGAGAGGCTGGAAGCAGAGGGATGTGGATGTGCAGGGGGAAGAGGGGATTAATCATTGGGTTGTACAATTTGATAGGGAGTGAAGGAAATGGAAAGAATTTGATTGAATTTGTATTAGAATTTTGTAAATAAACTAGTGGGGAAAAAAGAAAAAACAACCAACAACAACAACAAAAAAACAACCCCAAAACCAGAGCTCTAGTGGTCTAGTGAGTAAGGAGTTTCCCTGACAACCCAAAAGCAGGCAGTTCAAATCCACCAGCTGCTTTAATGAAGTAAGATAGGCAATCTCTTCCCCGGGCGAATCAGACAGCTCTGAGCCGGTTCCTATGTAATGAGGAACATTCCTCAAGCTATTTTTACAATGTTTCACTGAAAGGACCATTTGAATGGGGCTATTTCTGCACTCACTCCCAGGGCACTGCCAGCTTCGTGTGTCCCTTTGATTACCACGAGCACTGCACCAAGCTCCTGATAACGGGTATTTTCAGCACTCTCCCCTTTCAAGTGCCGAAGGCTTTCATGGGATCTTTGCAACAGTTCTTTGAGTTGAAAACATGCACCACTCAACTCTCATCTTACAGATGGAGTAAAAAAAAAATCACACACCAAATTCCAAACTCAATGCTGTGAGTCAAGAGTGACTCGGACAGAGCTTGCCCTTCACTGTGTGTATACGTTCAAGGGACAAGACTGCCCGTCTTTCTTCCAGGGAAAGGCAGGACTGAAACATCTTTTCGAAGAGAGGAGCAGCTGGAAATAAAAAAGACATTAAGTCCTTATACCTAATCCACAGCAACAGTCCAATGCTTCCATTTGTCCAGGACCCAACACTCTGAACGGCCTGGTCCATGAAACTGTAGTAAGGAAACTTCAAAGCACATGGACTAGCTCTGAATCAGAAGACGTAGGCTATGTTCCGGATCTGCTACATGACTCACTTGATTTAAAACCTTGTAAGAAGTTGCAATTTCTCCCTTCAGAATTAAAATGGGTCTAAGAAAAATACTCACTCACACACTCATTGCTGTTGATTTGGAGCTGACCCTCCAGTGGGGTTAGAGGCTGGGAAGTGACCAGGAGAAGTTTCTCCAAGTCTCGCCTGAGAGCATCTGGTGGATTTGCTGTGGGGTTACCAGCGTGTCCTGCTGTGGACTATATCCCCAGAGCTCCCTAACACGAATAATATTTAACATCAAATTATTATGAGAATTAAACAATACTCTATAAGCAAAGGGATTATGTAAATGGCAAAGATTATACACATATTAAGAATTCCTTTTTCGTGTGCTCCTGGAAGATTTAGGCTGTGAAAGCCTGAATTCTCCACACACTTCTTGTTTAGAAATTCAACTCTCCGGCTCACTTCCCTCTGTTCCATCTTTCTGCTGCCTCTTAGCCAGTGTATCCTGCTCTTTTAAAAAGGAGGTGCTAAGGGCTGGTCCTGATGTCACAGTTCGCTTTCAGAAGTGGAGCTTTACCTGCAATGCCACAGTCATCATGTGGTTTAGACCTTAATTGCTGTGTATGATTTTAATATTCCACCCTGATGTTGGTACTTCTGAAATGAATGGCCATTAAGCCAATTAGCTAAAACCATAAGAATCACACTTTTTGAAACCACTGATTTTTAAGTATTTGTTGATGCTTTGTTGTAGCTCACAGGTGAAAAAAAATAAAATATCCAGCAACTGCAGTTTAAAGCTTACTGGTATTTGCTGTGTTTAAATCCTTCTTGAATGAAGATGAGAGTCAGTGTCAGCGTTTGGCGTTACGGGATCTCAGACGATATCTGTGGAGATGCTTTGCTGGTTACTCACTGAGATTCCAGCCCAGATGTGGTTACCTTTGTCTCCTCTTAGAACTTGTTTACTGCCACCAAGGTTGGCATGGTGACTAGATAGAGATGAAAATAAGAACCAGTTCCAGTGACTCTGGAGTGTCTAGTTATAGTCTATCCCTCAACTCTCAAGAACTCAAGTGACACACCAAGACAGAGCTATCCTTAGAAAAGCTTTATGTCAAACTCAAATTCATTGCTATCAAGTCAGAACCAATTCACAGCTGAAGCTCCAGCTGATTTCTGAGGCTGTGAACGGCACGTGGATCTCCTGGGAAGCTGCTGGTGGATTTTGATCACCAGAGATGTGGGTCTTCGGATTAGCAGCACGACTCCCAAAGGATGACACAACCAGACAAAAGAGCAGGAGGTGACCCCCCACAGTGGTGCCTGGAACCCAGTGCTGCAAGACTGATGAAGCCCGTCGGACGACTGACGGGCCACTGAGTGATGAGGTCCATAGACTGATGGGCCTGAAGCACAAAATGAACAAAACGGTTCCTTCCTCTGCCTTCCAGAGAGCCATCCCCTGGAACAGACCAAGTGTGCAGCACCAAAGAGGTCTACCCTGGAGAGGGGAAGCCAGGCTGCTCCTGGGAGACAAGGATTTTGAAGCTCTAGCTCATGTACTTTGGGCATGATGCCAGAAAGGACCAGTCCTTGGAAAAGGACATCATGCTTGGAGAGGAGGACCCTGGATGAGAAGGAATGGCACAGTGACTGTGGCAATGGGGTCAGGTGTGTCAAAGAGCGAGGTTGGCTCGGGATAGGGCAGGGTTCAGAGTCACTGTATAAGGTCACTATGAGTCCCAGTCGACTCGATGGTCCACAACAATAATAATAATAATAAAAACAACCACATCCTACACGCATACGTCCATGTGCCCCCACAGAGGGAAACCAAGAGCTTCCATGCTAGTTGGCCTCACCTGTTTTACCAAAGCATTTCAACTTCCAAGTAGTCCCTGAGCTTTCTAGAGAAACAGTAAGACTCTAGAGAATTTTTCTCCTGTTCGCAAATTGCGGGATTTCTGGATCATCTACTATAATTTATTACAAAAGGTAATTCGTGGTTGCTGTGAAGCTGAACACTGTGACACTGATGTGTCAAATGTGATAATGGTTACCCATGGCGGACAGTGTTTGGTGGAGCTCCCTGATTAAAACAAGCTTGGAAGCAGGAGTGGCATCCACTTCCAAAATAGCTTGCCTCCAGAAACTATGAACTTGGAGAAACTATGGAAGGTATACATGTGTTCAGGTCTTTCAGTCATTGGGTCGCTATGAGTCGTCTACTACTCGACGACACCTAACAACAACACTATGACATTTAATTGTATATCTAATGTTTCCCTGTGCAAAAATGTCCAGCTGAGTTCTGTATCGAATACTCCTTTATCAGTGATTTATTCACAGTCCCCATGAGGGAGGGGGAAAAGGGAAGTAATAAGTAATGCTTAAGGGTCAAAACTGAAAGCACTAAAATAGAATTTGAAATAATTTATAAATAAAAATATAAATATAAATAAAATCAATAAAATTGAATTTTTAACATAAAAGCTAAGGATGTGTAGTATTTGCTGCATCCCCTTGTCTGATAAAATGCAGCCAGTATGTCCCCAGCTGGAACATGTAAGGCAAGTTGTAGGGTCAGGCAACACCATTCCTATCACTGCTGTGATCACACTCTGACTGGCACTGCTTTTACAAAGGACCTTCATGACGCCAAACTCTTCCAGTTTGTTCTTAATACAAAACTACAAGTGCAAGTGGAAAGAAGAAATCTGGGGGCCCAATAATTGATTGACTGAGGCTTTTCCTTAGCGAATCAAATACTGCCGCCTGAGAAGACCAGCATCCGGAGCACACACGCATCCCACCTACGTTATTTAGTTTCAGTTTATTCTTCTCTCTTCTTTGCAGGTGCCCTGAGATGTGATACAGGACTGCTCGGCTCCGTCTCCGGGCTGTGTCCAGGTGGGTCCCGGTTCTGGATCTTCCTTTGGCTTTGTCTAGGAAAAAACAATACTCATTAAACACCGGCAAATGTATCACTTACACAAGGTCAAGTTTTGACAGCTTCCTTTCAAACACATAGTACGAGTTTTTGAACACCTAAATCTCAACTACTTGCTATGGGTCTAAAAGCTGAATAGTAACTAGAGATGACAGAAGAGTCATCAAAGCGCGCGAGTTATGGTGGTGGAGATGAGTACTGAACATCTCAAGGACTGCCAAAAGAACACACATGTCTGTCCTGGAGAAAAGGAAACGAGGGTGCTCCTTGGACACAAGCATGGTGAAACTCTATCGCACATACTTTAGACATGTTGTGAGGAGGGGTCAGTTCATGGAGCAGGACATCGTGCCTGAAAGGGCAGGGCATTAGGGAGAAAGGGCAGGAGCGAAAGACTCGGGATGAGATGAATTGAGGCAGTGACAGTGGCAATGGGGTCAGGTGAGGCAGAGATGGTGAGGTTGGCTCAGGATAAGGCAAAGATTAGAGCCCTTGTTTATAGGGTGCTATGAATCACAGTTGTCTGGATGGCACATAATAACAACAACAAAATCACCCACTGGCTCTTAACGGCATTTTAATCTTTCACAATTTAAATATATATACGTGTATATGTGTGTATATGTGTATATATGTATATATATATACACACACATATAGATACATGTGTATGTATATATGTGTATATATATAATCATACTATTAATTTTTTAGAAATGAAAGCAAATGTATATGACCACAGAGGAAGTTTCAGACAGTCCAGAAAAACATTAAAGATTCACTCTCTGCTTCCTACGTGACATTCATTTGCTCAATTCTATTTCCTGGTGCAAAGAATGCTTCTACGCCAGTTTCACCTTTCTTGGTGGGAGTCAAGCCTTTCCCTTCTTTAATCTCCTTGACATCTCAAAAGAGGCCTACGCAAGATCCAGCCTAATCCTGAAGATTCTATCTAGCCTTATTAACATCATAAAAGACAGGATTTTAGCACAAGGGATGATTATAATAGATGCTGAAATAAAATAGATAATTATTTAATATTGAGAACCGTGGCCTAGCTGAGTTAACAGTTATTTTGGAGGGGTACAAGTCAATCCAGAACATACCTCTGTCTACATTTATATCAGTTTTCTTTGCATACCTATAATTTTTAATAAAAATGCTTGTCTTTCCATATCAAAACAAACCACTAAATGTTTCTAGTCTGCACATTATGATGTTATTACATTCTTTTTAATGCCTAATAGTCTAGCATTTTAGAGAAATAACTTATTCACTTCACTCTATCCTATTTATGCATATGTAAAGTTTTTTTGGGGGGGGGGAATCTATAGATAGCCCTGCGTGAAGATTCTTGAGTATAAAAAGCTCTATACTTATGTGCCAAGATTCAGAGGATAAATTTCTAGTAGTGGGCATGGACATTTCTAAATGTTGATGTACATATTCTTTCATTTCAGTAATTTATATTCCAAATGTTTAGTTCTTCCTCTTCCATATTTCTAAGATCTCATGGTATACGAAAGAAACATCATGTTCTTGTCACATATGCTGACAGAATGGTTCCTACTTTGTTACTTATCATTGGACTTTATCTACACAGCACAAAATTGTTTCATTTTGGGTGTCAGGAGGATCAGTTAACATCTTTGTGATTTCTACATATTATCTTACATAGCTAATTCTTTTTTCTCTGTGAAAATCTTATTTTTGAACATCAGCATGTCTTCTTCGAATATCTATCTGAGTTTGTAGTTCAAGTTCTTGTTAGGTACTTTCATGTCACGTTAACTACAAGTCAGAGAGACCGTGTGAACACCTGACACGAACCTGCCCTGATGGGTGCCATTCTCATGCTCTCTGACATCCTCGACTCAATCGTAGCCGTCACTGTGTGTTTCTGTCTTGTTGAGGGACTTCCTCTCTTTCTCTGACCCTCCACCTTCCCCAGCAGGATGTCTTTTCCCAAGGACTGGCCTCTCCTGAAAAGGTGCCCAAAGTTTGTGAGACAGAGTTTCACCATCTTTGTCTTTAAGGAACACCTGCTCGCACTTCCCTACTCGTTTGTTCTTTTCGCAGTCCATGGGAGATTCAGCACTTTTCTCCAACACCACAATATAAAGGCATTGCCTCTTCTGTCACACTTATTCATTATCCATTTTTCAAATGCACAGGAAGCAACTGAAAAGAGTTTAGCTTTGACCAGGCACACGTTAGTGTCTGAACTGATTACCCTGCTCTTTTGCACTTTGGAGAGGCTCTTGACAGCAGATTTCTCTATGCAGGATGACTTTTGATATCTTGACTGCTACTATGTGTGCAGTCACTATGGACAATGACTAAGGATGACAGAAGAAGAATTGATTCTTCTGAGTCGTGGTGCTGGAGAAGAGCATTGAACATACTATGGACCACCAAGAGAACAAGTCTGCCCAAGCTGCTCCTTGGAGGCAAGGATTTTAAGACTCTGTCTCACTTCCTTTGGGCATGTTTCCAGGAAGGACCAGTCCTTGGAGAAGGACATCAGGCTTGGAAGGGTAGTGCAGGAGAGAAAGACCCTGGATGAGGTGGATTGACACAGTAACTGGAAAGATGGGGGTAGGTGTGCCAATGAGGGTCAGACTTGTTCAGGACAAGGAAGGTGGCAGAGCTATTGCATCTCAGGTTGCCAAGAGTCGCTGTTGACTAGACTATACATAACACCAATAACAACAACAACTATGTGTGTTGATTGTGGATCCAATTAAAATTAAATTATTGAAAACTTGAATCTTTTATCTTTCTTTCTCCTTTCTCTTCCTTCCTTCCTTCCTTCCTTCCTTCCTCCCTCCCTCCCTCCCTTCCCTTCCCTTCCCTTCCCTTTCCTTTCCTTTCTTTTTTTTTTTTAATCATGATGCTGCCTACTACTACTGGTCCAGTGATGACAATGTGTGATTTCTTGATGTTGAGATGTGGTCAGTATTGAAGGCTGTGGTGTTTATTCTTCTGCACCAAGTACTTTGAGTCTCTTCACTTTCTGCCAGCAAGGTTGTGTCATCTGCATAATGCACGTCCTTCATGCGTGTTTCTCGGATCCTGATAGCATGTTCTTCTTCATACAGGCCAACTTCTCAAAGATTTGTTCAACATACACATTGCGTACGTGTGGAGAAAAGTTACAACTGTGATGCACAATGCTCCTGATTCTGAAGCATGGCGTGCTCCCTTTTTTCCTGTTCAGAAATTAGCTTCTTGGTCTATGTGTAAGTTCCTCACAAGCACATTTCAGTGTCTTGGGATTCACATTCTCAGTGTGATCCACAGTTTACTAAGACCTACGTGGTCACATACCTTTATATAGTCAATAAAACTCAAGTAAACATCTTTCTGAATTTAACATTTATGTGACCCAAGAAATTAAATTTTTATTAAATGACATAGGGATCTAGGGATTTTGTTTCCTAAAAGCATATTGTCCAAGGGAAGGGCACTGGTGGGACAATAGTCAAGCAACTGTTTGCTATTAAAAAGGATACAGGATTGAATACACTCATTAGCTGGCTGTCAAAACATGACAAATTGTTTCCATAGTTTCCATAAAGATTCAGGTCAAGGAAAAATGTGTCCCGTTCATGGATAGGAAGACTAATATTGTGAAAATGACAATCCTAACAAAAGCAATCTACATGTTCAGTGCAATTTCAATCCAGGTACCAAATTCATTTTTCAAGGAGATTGAAAAGGAAATTATCAAATTTAGTTGAAGAAACAAGAGACCCCAAATAAGCAAAACACTTCTGAGATACAAAAATGAGGTTGGAAGCATAGCACTCCCTGACCTCAAAACCTACTACATAGCAGTGATAACCAAAACCAGCATGGTATTGGTACAGTGACAGGCACATGGACCAATGGAGCAGAATTGAGAAACCCAGAAATAGACCCAGCTATCTATGGTAAACTGATCCTCAACAAAGAAATCAAAGCTATCAAATGGGGAAATGGCATCTTCTTCAACAAATGGTGCTAGAAAAACTGGACTTCCACCTGCAGAAAGCTGAAACACGATTCACATCTCACAAAAATCAACTCAACTCAATCAAATCAACTGGGAGTAAAGTCCAAAATCATAATGTTCATAAGAGACAAACTAGGATCAAACTTAGAAGCGCTAGTCCAAGGTATAAAGAGACTGACAAATACAACCAGAAACGCACAATCTGAATAGGATAAAACTGATGCACAGGACCTTCTAAAGATTAAATCCATGGGCGCATCAAAAACTTTTCCAACAGGGTGGAAAAAAAGCTACACACTGGGAACAAGCATTTGGTAACACCATCTCAGACAAGAGTCTTATAACAAAAGTTTACAGAATAGCCATGGGCCTCCACAAGAAAAAAACTGATAAACCAATTACAAAATGGACAAAAGACATGAAAAGAGTTTTCATAGAGGAAGATATTCAAATATCAAAGAGACACATGAAGAAATACTCCAAATTATTGGCAATAAGAGATGCAAATCAAAACCACAATGAAGTACCATCTCACTCTAGTAACAGTGGCAAAGTTTAACAGGGCAGCAAGTAATAGATGTTGGAGAGGATGTGGTCAGAAAAGAACTCTTATACATTGTTGGTGGGATTGTAAAATGGCACAACCATTCTGGAAGGCAGTTTGGTGCTTCCTCAAAAAGCTGAACATAGAAATTCCATATGACCCAGCTATTCCACCACTTGGAATAGACCCTGAGAATATGAGAACTGAGACACAAACTGAGATTTGTACACCAGTGTTCATAGCAGCATTATTCACCATCACAAGAACATGAAAACAGCCCAAATGTCTAACCACAAATGAATGGATTGAGAAATTATGGTACATTCACACAATGGAATACTATGCAGCACACAGGAGCAATAATTTTATACATTATTACCTAACTTGGGAGGGACTGGAGAACATTATGCTGAGTGAACTAACTCAGTCCCACAAGGAAAAATATTGCATAAAA